CCCTCCTTTCATGTCCTGCTCATAAGAGGGGAGAGGAGGACAGGGAGGAGCAGGAGGAGGAGGAGGACTAAGGTGGCCTAGAACTCCAAGAACTTGTTTTTTTCGATTCGCCAACCCCTGGAACTCTCAACAACTTTCCCGGACCATGGCATGTTTGCTCCCCACCCAACAGGTTGAGGCTGTTAGATTTCAAAAGCAACCTCCAGACCCGCCCACACTGCATACCGCGGCCGCCCGACCCCCAAGTCCACCCAATGTTCCGAGTGTCCCGCCCCCACCTCGCCTTTTTCTTCTATCGCCTACCCTGCATACCGCGGCCGCCAGATCCCCAGGTCTACCCAGTGTCCCGAAGGTCTCCCCCCCCGCCTCGCATTTTATTATTACCACCGCTACTACCACGACATTGAGTATCAGTAAGGCGACCACTACTGCTTCTACTGCCAGAACTAAAAAAAGGCATACTACAGTGTATTGCTACCGAGGAGAACATAACACAACTGACCATACCATAGCATGATGTAGCCCGACATAGCAGGACAACCAACAAGAGAGTACACCGACACATAACACAACATACGATATTCTACCGTAGCGCTGACTCTATACCAAAGTGGGGGAAAGCAACATGCCAAAGTCGAACGTCGCCGACTTGAACATACCCAAACGACATATATGTTATAGCATAACGGAACAGGGCTGCATCTATACAATAATAATAAATGAGGAATGCGTGGGTTAACACAACTTAGAGAAATAATCATGAACATGGGATAATCACACTAAAACGCAACAACGACCGATTGTAAGATGTTCGGAACAGTGCTCCCGACCCGACAGAGCCACCCTGCATACCGCGGCCACCATATCCAAACAACCACGGGTGGTCACTGTATGGCCGTCCTCATGTCTCCGACGAAATGTGCAGCGTCACACCGTCCAGGTGTCACGGGGTCACGGCGTTACCACTACATAACAGGATTGCCACTGCATAACAAAGAGCATAGCATAATATGGTGGAACATAGTACTACAGAGACAACCTATGCAATACCCCATACATATTACTACAATGTTGCACTGTACAACCATAGCAGATACTACAACACTTAACTTAATATAGTGGGTTACCGCACCACTCAATGAACTATGACACAACACAACGTAATTTATGGGAGAGAAGCAGCCACGTGGAGCATTACGACAAACGAAAATCACATAACTAAGCTGAACCGACGACAATATCATCTCACCAGCCCTCTAGACGGAGGTGGTTTGGGGCATGACCTCGTCAACTCCCCTCCTTCCCCTTCGGGGATGGGGCTTACCCCTCTCCCTGGGTCTGGCCGCGGGGGAGGGGCGCGAAGGGTTGCAGAGGGTCCATTGTGTCGCCTCTGATGCTCAAAGAGGCCTGAGAGCCAAATATGGCTCAAGATGGCTTCCAGCATGCCCAAGAGGCCCCCAGTCCGCTCCAAGGCGGCTCCAACTGCTCTTGGAGCCCCAATCAGGACCCCCCAAGGCAACAATCCTTTAACATGGAAAGGACAGCAAAACGCAAATGTTGCCTTCTCGCCGTTTTGCCTCATAATGGCTTTTGAGGCCTGAGCGCCCAAGAGCGCCCACGAACGCCCCAAGAGAGCTCGAAAAGAGGGTGTTGATGGCTCTTGAGGGGGAGCACAGGTAAGGGACCCCCACCTCAGTTTAATCGGTGGCCTCAAAGATGACCCTAGGAGGCCATACAGGGCCCCCAAAAGGCCCCCAAGAAGGCCCCAAGAGGGCCCCAACTAACAGAGCCCCAAGCGGACCCTAATTCTCACCAACGTAACCCCAAAGGGTCCCAAAAAAAACCCAAGAGATTCCCACGAGAGCCCCGAGAGAGCCCCAAGAGGACCCAAATGGGGCCTTAAGAAGAGCCCTCTCCTCCTCCTCCTCCTCCTCCTCCTCCTCCTCCTCCTCCTCCTCCTCCTCCTCCTCCTCCTCCTCCTCCTCCTCCTCCTAATCCCATCTCCGCATAAGATGGCTCCATGGGTGTTTGTCCATGTTGTTTTCCTCCTCTTCCTCCTCGTCCTCGTCCTTGCCCTCATCGGATTCCTCTTCCTTTTCGTCCTCCTCCTCCTCCACGTCGTCGTCTTTTCCTCCTCCTCCTCCTCCTCCTTCTCCTTCTCTCGTCCCCGTGGGTCCCAAGGATGGCACGCAGAGGCTCTTCAAAACCGCCTCCTTGCTCCCAGAGATCTCTCTGTTCAACCCGTTTGCCAGTTTCGTTCCATGTGTCTCGGCGTCACTTCCCCCGCCAGTTATCATGTGCAGGGTTTTTGAATGGGCGGGTGGGGGTACGTGAAGCGTGAATCGTAAAAGAGAATAGCAGAGAACAGGGCATAACATCACATGAGAGAGCAGCACGCACTATATCACAATCCACGATACCAGCATGCAATCATAAGCAAGGAACCGAACATGTAATCTGTCATGTCATGATATACCATAGTATTGAAACCGCGCGTACTAGAACACACCATCACATACATACTACGCATAACCGGCTGGCGCACGGTATAATTTACACGTGCACAGCACATCACACTATTAGAAAGTAGTGGATATGGGCAAATCACGTAGCACACCGGAACACACCATACCATAATGGATGCTGGGAGGAGGGAACACACCAATGATGTACCATGCTATAGTATACGGAAAAAATCGCGCAACTGAACATACTACACGATGCCATATTGCTGGATGGGTGTAAATGATCAGTGCGTCATAACAAAACAATGCAACATGGCAAAAGGTATCTAACAACACATAAAACAACGCAACATGACAGCAGAGTGAAAAACAAACATTCGGCCACCAGTTTCGCCGCCACCATATGATTCGCCCCCTTTCCGCTGCCTCATTGTTGCACGCATCGGTTGAGGAGACGCGCGCACCGTCGTGGACAAACGTCCGAGGTTTCGGTGGGGATCGCTCGAAGCAGAATACGTGTATCTTGACTCGTTGTTTCGAAATGCTGGGGCCCAGAAGCAACCTCCGAGCGCAGGAGACGGTAATACATAACAAAGAACGCCGCATTTGTGCGAGTGGTCCAAACATCTGGGGAGGGGAAGCGAAGAGGGTAGCCCAGACGGCAGGTCTCCTGGTCGGCCTCCTTGTCGAGCCAGTCCCCCCACGTGCGCAACGCCTCCATCAGGTCCTGCGGGAATCGCACAGGAGGGGGGGGGGGGGGAGGGGGCTGCAGCTCTTCGATCAAGCCGCCGTCGGATGAGAGATCCACAGATTCGCGGAGGAAGAGGCAATGGTGGAAAAGGAAACGACGCCATAAACATAAACTTGCGGCGTCCTGCGCGGATTGCTTGAATCTCCGCTGGACCCTCATCCCTAGCGCGCGGAAAGCGCCAAGGGCGGCGCCGCCCAGGAGGGCCCAGCGCGGATGCAAGAAACCCGCGCGGAACTCCAACAGATTATGGTTATGATGGTATCGAGGGGTTCGCGGGAGAGGAGGCGAGGGGGGCGGTGACCATTGGGGAGGGAGGGAGGCAAGGAGGCAGGGAGGCAGGGAGGCAGGGAGGAGGACGAGGAGCAGGATGAGGAGGAGGAGGAGGAAGAGGAGGAGGAAGAGGAGGAGGTGGAGCGTGCCCAGAGGAGTCCGTCCACTCTACTTGCCTGAGCTACTGCTGTCACTACTGCTGCTGTTGCTGTCGCTGCTGCCGCTGCTGCCGCGCACGAAATACACTGGCGGCCGCAGCGATGGCAGCGGCAGGCCACGGCGATGCCCGCGGGCCTCGACGACAGCGGCGGCAAGGGCGCGCCTGCCGAGGAGGGCTCGCTGCCGACGCCCAGCAGGAAGACGCACAGCAAGACGCACAGCAATCGTCCTGCCTCTTCGAGAATGATCGGGCGGTGGAGGGAGGAGGCGAGGCGAGAGGAGAGACGGAAAAAGTGATAGATGGTAACCACAAACGCGAGCTGGCCACCTCTGAGCCCGAGCACGAACATCGGATGAGACGGAAGAGGGGATCGAAGACACACTGACGCCCAGTACAAGAGCCGAGGGCAGTTCAGATAGTGTGCGAGCGTGTCTGGGCAGGCCTCACAACCCAGGACACAGCACGCTGCTCGTTGCATTCTCCCGCCCGTAAGCCACCCCCCCAAGAGAGTGCGCGCAAGGCGATAAATGACCAAGCTGCAGGGACTTGATCGATGACAAGCTTGAAGGCCTCCCAGTCCTCAGGAGAGAAACGCATGAGCACTCGAGCATGTTTCTTCACGCGACGGACGATGAGGGGGTTAAAGGGGAGGGGTCGAGAAGAGGGCACGCTGAAAAACCTCAACGAACCGAGCCTGCCACCGAGGCCTTCTCCTCGACTCCTCAGGGGACGGGGGGGGGGAGGATTCTCGAAAAAAGGAGGAGGGAGGAGGCAGCTAGCAGCAGCCAGCAGCAGGAGAAAGGAGGAGGGAGAGATAGGACGCCAGGAGGATAAGGGGAGGAGTGGGATGGGGAGGAAAGGGGGTGGGGGTGGGGGGAGGGGATTAGGAGGGGTGGGAGGGGAGGAGGAGGAGGAGGAGGAGGAGGAGGAGGAGGAGGCGAGGGGGAGGAGGCAAGGGGGAGGAGGCGAGGGCGAGGGCGAGAAGGGGAAGAACGTGCTCACGTACCGTCCTTCTCGCCAGGGAGGGGGAGCCAAGCGGGGCACCCACCTGGCCGAATGCCCGAACGCCGGGGGCGGAGGGGGGGGCGGCACGCAGCACCACCACGGGTGCCGCCCGTGCACGGAGCCTCGAGACCGTCCTTCCGCGCCGGCGGCCTCCCGAGCCGTTCTCCCGTGTCGGGCGGGTGCCGTCGTGCCCCCTGCCCGCCACGGCACGGCGGGCAAGAGCCCGCAAGGGGGCCGCCGGGGCGGCGGCGCGGCCCGGGGGCGGTTGAGGAGGAGGGATTGGCCAGCAGGGGGGCAATGCATGGCACGCTCGTCGCCCCACGAGGGCTCTCTGCGCCCTCGCGACGGC